CTAAATTAAAACCAGGTTTAGATCATCTTGGCTTGACAAATTTATTGAAATTAAATAACAAAATTATCAAAACGTCTAGTTGAGATAGAAAACAGCCATACGTTGTGAGGATAGATCGCCTTGCCATTTTAAGTTCAAATGGCGGGATATGAAAGTTCAACGCATAGCAATGGCAGCTGCTTGCTCATGCCGAAAATTACTTGACTTTCAACCTAGTATTATTTATATCTATGTGGATAGGAATAAAACTAAATTGTGACCTGTTTCGAAAATGCATTTAATAATAGGTTGTCATTTTCTATGCTCATTTTATCACTTTATTATTATCATCATTTATTTAAGTTATACTTAACTTGTTTTTTTTTATATACTATAATTTTAACTTAAAATACTATATAACAGAACGTTAAATGTTTATTATAATGATTAAACAAAAATGTGAAGCGCTACAAATGAATGACTGACATGAATTGCTGATTTGGAAAGTAACGTTGAAATGTCAATGCGATTTATACTCGTATTGTGTCACTGTATTACTTGCTTTTGACTTATGACACAATATCTATACGTTTTATCTTGCACTGTTCTATTCTGATTTTGAGCATTAAATGGTAACAAAGAAATATATGAAACAATTAAACATTTAATAGTAGAAAGAGGCATGTTTGGCAAGTGAAGTGTTAGAGTAACGTTTATGTTCACTTATTTGTCCGTTACTTCATTTGGCTACTGATGCTACACTTGAATATGTTGTATTATTTTGAAAGTATTTATAGTTTTGCGTTTAGACGCTAGATGGTAGTACATAACATTTTAACTATAACGAAATGGTTTTTGTTTTAAAAACATGCAAAAAGCTACACAGTGGGCTATCTGTGCCCTGCCCACCACGAGTATCGAAACCCGCTTTCTAGCGTTGTAAGTCCGCAGACATACCGCTGTGCCACTGTGGGGCTTTGATATTGAACTTGAAATGTTAGGGTGCTATTTATTTTTGTTTTGCCATTGTATTATTTGTTTTCCTTTACTTCAGCTGTACAGTATAATTGTACATTTTAAAAAATAAACCTGTATTAATCTGCAAAACTTCCTATACATACCACAATTGGTACAAACAAATACGTAGTGATAAAAATAGTAGAAAAAGGCAAGTTTCAAAAATGATTTCGAACATCATGGTGCCACTTTCGTATATTCATCGCCTTTTTTTTTTCCTGTATATTAATTACTGACGCTACACTTTGCCCTCCAGTGGCATAGCGGTATGTCTGCCGACTTACAACGCTAGAAATCGGATTTCGATACCCGTAGTGGGCAGAGCACAGATAGCCCATTGTGCAGTTTTGTTCTTAATTACGAACAAACAAACGCTACACTTTTTTTATCTTGTGTTTTTCTTATCAGTATATGGCAGGATCTCCTGTGACTATTTCTAATCAACAAATATAAAATGATAAAAAATGAGAGGTGAATATTTCAGTAGTGAACTTTATGTATGAGTGCTATTATACTGCTTTTCTTTCTTTTTTGATTACTGACGTTATATTCATTTGAGTGTTTTATATCCTTTATTAAACATTGCTTATTTTTTACTTTAAAACACTAAATGGTAGCGTATTCTATGTTAATATCCTAGCAACATACAAATTTAACGCGATAAAAATGAATGACAGACATAAAAAGACATTTGAAAATCTCGATGTGCTAATTATGCACATTTTTTATACTGTATTGCTTTAATATTTTTTAAACAATGCAGGATATTACACAACACAATATAATTACTTTTGAAAGCAAAATGGCAGAATATTTTGCATTGACTGTAACAGCAAGTAAAAGTATAACAATATAAAATTGAATGTGATGGGTAAGGTTGGATTGAGTTTTGACTATTCATGCTATACTTTTTCGGTTTGTTTTTGCAATGTATTCCGCTATTTATAAAATATTCAATGTAGTTTGTTCCCCAACACTATATGTAAGTAAATTTCACACTGACAAATGCCATTAATAATATGTAGAAAAAATAAACAGCAGGAAGTGGCATATTTTGAGAGTGAACTCAATGTTAAACTGCTATTTAAGCCCAACTTTAAAAAATTTTGGTATCTAAATCATAAATTACAAAATGTAAGATATATGTGACTGATTATTTTGTACTTACGGCTATGTTTACGCGTATCATTTTGATAAGTTATCCTTATATAATTACTTATCTTAACGTAAGGAAGTCTATACATTAATAAAGTAACTTAGGTCTAACGGTTACGATTATGAAAATAAAATTAGGCTAAGGTTTTTGACGTTATTTTAAAATTTAACGCGATCAACAAATAACTAGAGTTTTCAGACGTTTGTTCTGACAGTTAAATGTTATTCTTTTAAATGTTATCTTACCTTATATAAAATAATTTTATGGTTTTCCTTAAGGGAAGTGAATTTGGAGTGAATTTTGATGACCTAACGTTAACATTCGAACAATTTGTTCTGATGCCGGTATTGATTAGCTTAACTGTGAATGGTTGAACGTTTTTACCATATATGGAACTACAAAGCTTTTGTCAATATTGTAATGTTAAGTCCTCCCCTTAATTATAAAGTTTTAAAATGTGTCAATATATATATATATATGTATATATGTGTGTGTTTGTGTGTATGGAAAGTCATACTTAGATAGCTTAACACTTATCTCTAATCTGAACTAATTTAAAACGATGAAAAATACAATTATTGTTTTGTTATTCGCTCAGTAACCATTGTAATCGGCGCTGAAGACATTTATCAACAAGGATATATATAACTTAAAAATCGTTGGATTGAGAGTGAGCCCCTACTTATAAAAATTCTTTCTGCGTGACTTAGTTATAATTGTTTTTCATAATAGCAATTTCTGACCTAATTAAGAAAGCTGTATATGAATTAAAAATATGTAGTTAGGATGAGGACCACGTAGTACACCGTCAGAGGGCGCTACACGTGTGTCGACCCCGGAGAGGGAGGTAAAAGGGGAAGACATTGATGTCACCAAAGAGGAAGATGTCATAGTGCCACAAAATGTCACTAGAGGGGCGTTGCTAGGGTCGTTTTGCTCGGCCAACATGACAGACAGCCGTGACATCAGAGACAATGATGAAACGTCATTGTATCAATGTGTCTCAACACGACCATAATTAATACAGTCAGTATAAAACACGAATTCGTTAGTTCCATACATTTCCTGACCATTTATATTTAAATCGTCCTAAAAGGACGTTTATTTAAATATCATACAATAATTAAAACTTACTGTTTGACTCCTTAATTATAAATAAGTGATTATTTAAAAGTTTTTGGTATAACGATTATAATAAGACAATTCTAGATACAATATATCTTTTTAAACAATTTATTAATTTTCTTACAATAAAGATTTTGCAATCTGATCTACATAAAAAGACACGTCTATTAAGGTCGTATTGTTACGTCTCCGTTTGTTAATTGACTTTCCGTAACTTCGTTCCAACG